TACCTCTCTCCATTCTGAGCTTTTCACCACTTTATTTCAATCATTAACTCAATTTTCACTTTAACTTTACAGTTCACTTTTGGAAACAATCCAAACCATTGTGTAGAGGGTGGTGAGGCAGGAGGAACATTTACTGTTTTAAAGGATTACCAGACTTAGGTGCTACATTTCTAGGTGTTGCTTTTCAGCAGTGCCATTGTACCATACTGTCTGCTATTTCTCTAAGTGTCATCAACTTGTCAGCTCATAAGCAGGTGTAAAGCTTTGTTTCTCTCCAAGTCTCATGTTCAGTGAAGCCAATGGAAGTCTGCAAAGAGTGTTGTGTCAGGAGTACTTTTTTTGCAGGGAATTTAAAGGTAAACATTTCTCTCCAAAATTAACGTCATTTGTTGCTACAGCAAAGAAAGCAAAAACACATTGCTAAATGGATTATTAAAAGTCCTGAAAACAGAGAGGTGCCTGGGAGGCTGCACTCAGGAAGCACTTAAAAGACGAAAAATCACTGGAATGTGCAAGTAATGGGGGCAAATTATAAAATAAACCAATAAAAATATCCTGACACGGGAAGATGAGTGTTCCATACCCAGCCACACACATCCTAAATTCCCCAGTTGATATTTATGTCAGAAGGCAGAAAGTCCTCTGTTTGACTTTTTATAAAACAAATATATATTCTCATAATGCATTGAGATTTACTGAAGAACAGATTAAATTCTCAGATTTGAGAAAATCAATGAGGTACACAAAGCCATGATAGTGAGCGGCATTTCTGTCTATCCAACCCTCATTAGGCATCACAGCAAGAAAAACAGGTGAACAGTTTCACCCCAAACCAAGCTATCGTTGTATGGGACTGTTGTCTTAATGACCTATGTTATCACTTCAAGCAGGGTTATGCTACCTGAAATATTAGAAATAAAAGGATCTGTGATGTTCTTAAGAGATTCTCAGCATACATTGCCTCTCACATGAGTGTAGTATGAGCAAACATAAACTAAGCAATTTTCAGTGCTACTGCACTGAATTTAGAATCCGATGCTTCATTGTTTGAGAGATAGCAGGAAGAATTGAAGATCATCTGACTGTGTCTCAGGTCTAAAACAAACATCTCTAGTTCAATTTGTGAATGATTCCTGAGGTGTTATGCCAGGAAGAGACAAATCATTGCAGGTGGAGGAGAAGAAAAAAGAAAAAGATAATCTTAACTATTTCAGTGGAACAGAGATCAGTGTTATCATCTGGATTTATTTTCTTCTAAAAAAAGACCTTAATCTGGAAGCCTTCCAAGGAGATCAGAACTCAATACTGGGTAAGGTATTATAAAAAAGTAATAAAGCTATTTATTTTACATGTAATTTATAAAATTACTTTACATGCAATTCCTTCATAGCTATTCAGCTGAATAGAGGTAGCAAGGCAGAGAATTAGGACCTTCAGCTGCACTGAATGCTGTTTCTGGTAATGCTAGTCAGGTTGTTTAGCTGTTGCTTCTTCAGAAATGAAGTGCAAGAAGAGGAGTAACTAGCTCATTTCTGATTATAAACCAGCAAGATTATACTGCTGCTGTTGCTATGGCCTTTTATCCTAGCATGGTAAACAAGACATCAGCTACCATATTACTTTTGATAATAACTTCGATGCAATCTTGCTTCCTACTTGCTGTGGATACTATGTTCAAACTCTATCTTGTTCTAAAATTGTATTAAGCATACCTGGAAACAATAGTGCTTCTAATTTTTTCTTCCTGCTTAAAGAAAATCACATCTTGAAAGATTAGAGATATTTAAAGCTAAGTAAATGAAAATACAGAAAACAGAGAATGTATTTGGTGCTTGGTGGAAAGTGTGCTGTATCTCCCAATTTTCAAAGATGCTAAATTTTAACTATAAAGTTGTTTAAATGTTATATACAGCTGTGTAAATTGAGCATATAGCTATGCATCTTGGAACAGAGGACATAATCTAAAATTTAAAAAAAGTGCCAAACTGTGGACTCCTAAAAACCCTCCTCTCCCTCTCCTGTTTTACTTCTTTCCCCTCCCCCCAAACCAGTGTTTTTTACTTTAACTTGTCAAGTATTTCACAGTTTCTCAAGTATTTAGCAATGAGGATCTAATTGGAAAGTGCCAGGTTCTTTCTTATTACACTTTATCAATATTGTTAAGGGAATGATGTAATTGTTTGGGGTTTGGTGAAGACATTCCATGTCACTTCAGTGTTAATACCAGGCTGGAGCCTTCCTTGTCTGCCTGCGTAAGCTAGATAAACACAGACCTGTGTGCTTTCTTCTCATCTCAGGATACTTACTCAGAGAGATCTTGGAACATATGCCTATTGCGAGCTAAACATTTCACTTTTCATTTTATCCATGTGCCAGAAATCCATTCCTTGGATAAACACTTTACATACTGACACTCTTAAAGTCACTAAACACGATAAATAAAGAGAGAATACATCATTTCAAAACAGATTAAACATTTTCTCACTTGTGACAAATGAACAGCTATACACTGCATGGAGTCCCCGGAGCAGACATTCCATTTTCTTTGTCTTTATTTTGTGTGGAAGATTAACTTTCCATTTCAGCTCATCTATTGCACAACTGAGCTTTTCTAAAATACACATTGCTGCATTTTCCCCAAATCATTATTCATTTTGGTTGTTATTGCTGCAAGAGCTTTTCTTTTAGACTTTCGTATTTTTATGGAGATATCAGCGTTAATATTTTGTGTTCAAACTAACAAAAAAAAGAAGAAAATTTGTAGTCTTTACTGAAAGCTAAAGAAATGCTATCACAGGGTAGACCTGAACTTATACATGGGCTGAAGTTATCCACTTCAAAAAGGAAAATCCAAGCACGTTAATCACATTAATTTTGCTCCATCTAATCCATCACTTTTCCTTGCACTACTTGCTTGTCTAGTCATCCTGTGCATTGCTGTTCTACCTATGATTAGCCAAATGTAACTAATCTTTTATTTAGCTTTTTAAGCTCTCATCTTCTTTTTCCCCACCCCCACCAAAAAAGATCCCAAGCATTTTATTTCTAAGCCCAATTAAGGATCTTAGTGAAATAAACACACATAATACTAAAACTGTACCATGAAGTTATCTTCAATATTTTAAAATACCACTAATCTGATTAAGAATTTCAGTGGCAAGGTGGAAGAAAGAAAGAGAAATGTAGCCTAGATAATAGTAAAAAAATAACTTTGCCCTAATGTTGTCCTAGCATAATTCCTCATGTGTTCCACAAAAGGTTTTGCGTGTGATGTTATCCTTGCTAGATATTCACAGTAAAGAGGAACAATGAAGCTGAATTTTCTTCTTTGACAAACTACTATGTAAAAGGAGCTGCTGCACTCAACATAGTGGGAGAAGAAAGAAATAGGACAAGTTGGAAGGAGCAGACCAAGCTCAATGAGAATCCAGGGAGCAGTTTGCTTTCTTCCCCCATATTGTGGATGCTAGATATACCAACAGGAAGTTTTTTATTTGATGGTTCCAGTGCAGTCAGGGGAAAAAAATAAGAATGGAGAGTGAATTAGACACCAGAAGACAGTGACAAGTCACAAGATTTCTGAACAGACTGCAGATTCCCCTTGTCCTTAGAAACATGTCTGTTTGGACATGTAGTCTAATCCATTTTCCACAGGAGAAACAGTTTCCTTAAAAGAGCAGTCTCTTCTCGTGACTGCAGTTTCTTCTCTCAAAGTTTTATTGTGAAGAAGATTTTTAAGGATAAGAATTATGTAACTCAGCAGTTAAACAAACCTAAAAATGTCAGGCATGCTTTTCATATACTTGAGCAATAGGTATGATACTAAGCCAAAGCAATACTCCCTTTGTTCCATTTCTTCCATCATGATCCCGCATCACCGATGTACCACTCAAGGACCTACCATCTTCTTACAAGTAAGAAGGGAGCTTCTTGTGGCAGAGGAACATCCACTCTCCCCTGGGCTTCCTTTTCAGGTACTATCTTTAGTACATGGCCCAAGGAAATAGACAGAAAATGTGGTGCTGTACCAGGAAAGATGTCAACTGCACTGTGGCATTACAGAAGGTAGCAAATTTGGGCATCGGGGCCACAGAATGGCTAACAAACCATAGGAAAAACTAGAACCTTTTATAGTGGTATATTTTACTGGAATCCTATTGAGACACTTTCCAGGTCTGGGAATATATAATGAATATATTCATTAGCATATATTCAGTGGCAGTTGTAGCTAGTACAAAAAGAAGATGCTATTTTTAGCGAAAGGAAAACAAACGCAGACTGTCAGTTTCACTAAATCTGGACTATAAATGTTGTGTGTCTTCTTTTGGTCCTTTGCTGGGACAGATAAAAATCTGTCCCATTTAAACATTGCTTCTGGAGAACACTGCCAAAAAATCAGAAGAAACCGCAAGTTGTGCAATGCAGTGAAGTTCCCAATTTTGAAAACTCTCTCAACTGCACACATCTGTAACAAAATTTAATGAAGTATTTTGCTTTTTGCCACAAAAAACTATTTGAAGATCTATTAGCAATTCTACAAAGGAAGTCACATTTAATTATACATATCATTAGTACATTAAAAAATGGTTTCCATTCTTTATTTTAAAGCACATATTTTATAAGCACAGGAAATGTTACCTCATGAATAACAGTTGTCTGGGGAATACTACATGTCTGTCAAATCACTATGATTCTGGTGTAGTACAAACAGTTTTCTCTCAGTCCAAATGGTATATTCTGAATTTATTTGTACATAAGGTACATGCATTTTCCAAAAGACAGGCATCATGTGCAATATTTCTCTAAAGTTAGGCTGCATGTCTATATTCCTTCAATTTTTTTTCCTAATTGTCAAACTAAAATTGACAATAAATATCACTTAGTTTTCTGAGTGCATTTATTTCACTATTCAATAGTAAGATAATGCTGGCTACCAATACAGCAGCTTCTACCAAAACACATTTTTCAAAGAAAGGTTTTACTGCATTGTTCTTTCTTACCTTTTATGTGCTTCTGTCAGTGACTTCTCTTCATTTTCTTGGTCTATTTTAGCTGTAAAAATACAATCAAAGAATTAGCTATAAGGTAAAAGATAAAGATTTTTTTCAGGATAATGTTCATTGTAAATACATCTTGTATAAAATGTATAGAAACCACCTGAGGTTGCTGTACTAATGTACAGCAATTCTGAAAGAAAAACCAAAAAACCCCCAAAACCACACAAACAAAACTACATTAATTTTGATATCCCTATTAAAAAACAAAACAAAACAAAACCCACAACCACAAAAAAAACCTCGAAGCAAGTTTTGAAAATTATGAAAAAAATCTTGCAGTAATATAAACAACAACCAAGTCCTGAAAGTGATTTAAAAACAGATCTGAAAGAATGATTCTGAAAACGTAACAAATATGGGAACTGGTCTACCAAGAGGAGGAAAAGCTGAGTGAAGAACAGGACGGATTCAGCCTTATAGCTTTTCTAAAAGTTGCTTGATAGTTACAAATAAAAGGTCTCTTCCTTCTCCTTGTGCATACCATCTCCCTGCACACACATCAGTGAAGTACTAGAGCCATAGTGGGCCCATATTGAAAACATGACTGGTTTTATATGAAGGAAATTATCATTTGGTGATCATGTGAAGGAAATTAAAAATACGAAACTGTCATTGCCACCCATTGGTGATAAATGATCTATTTGCCATGTGTTCTCTCATATTTTATTTTGTACCTAAGTTAAGTGAAATGGGTATTCTGATACACAAAGTCTACAAGAGCATGCATATTAACTTAGGCATCACCAATGTGCAAAGTGATAGTACAAACTGCTCTGTGCATGTGTGCTTAGGTGAGATTTATACTTATATAGTCAATTCAGGTAGCACAACTTAAATCCCGTTTAAGATCTGCATGCTTTAGCCAAAAGCATTTTAGTTTGGAACTTGATTCCCCTTTTCAGTCTGCTGGACTACTGGCCTGCTAATTTGCAAGCAGAATTTTAAGATTCCCAAGGGTCAGTGGGTTTTGGGACACGAAGAGGCTCTGTACTGTCCTGGAAACAAATGTCAATGGTACAGAATTCATACAGAAGTCTAAAAAACAAGAATAAACCTTTAAGCTATTTTTCATTCCACTTTCCCTATGTAGCTCTACAACAATAATTCATTAAAATTATTTTTCTACATTGTAGACACACTGCCTTTGAAAAAGGAAATCCTGATTTTAAATTTAGCAAAAATGAGAAAGGCAATGGAATTATTAGGGAAAAAAGATAACCACTATTTTTCCGTTACAATGTTTCAATTAACAGCACTTTATATACATATACTAACAGTAAAATAGACATGTGAAATCTGTAGCAAAGATACACAAATGGAGTTTCCCTGTACTTTCCCCAGTCAGAACAAGGATCAGAGCTATGTCTGACGCTGCAAATGCTTTTTATTAGTAGTAATGTAGTCTGCTGAGTAGGGTGAGCAGTGCCTGGATGTTTGCAGCAGCAAACATTGTATTTAGTAATCGTTACTTGAAGACTTGGGCTCCACCATTGTTTTGCTGAAAGTGAAAAAAAACCCAGCAAACCACAGAAAACTTGAGGGAGAGCTGGGTAAATGTTCTCAAGGAAATTCAAGAGCACATGAAGTCTGCCTGATTACAGGTTTCAGTACCGACTTGAAACTCAGCCCAGATTCTTCAAAAGGTTTGTGAGGGCTCACAACCCTTTTGAGTGAACTCGGGCCCAGTGTTGAGTGAATCTGGGCTGACTTAGAGTTTTTCTTGAAAGCCTTGCCTTGCTTTGGATATGAAACCAGGTGAAACCTGGCAGCTTTGACAGAATTTCATTAATTTTTTTTTTTCTTTTCATACTTCAATCCTGAAAGTCAAGGTATGACTTGTAAAACCATACAGTGCAAGAGAGAAGAAACTGCACACAAACTCCCTGGATGGAGGGAGATCCAAAATCTAATTCTGCATTAACGCTTTCACTAAGTATCTGTGGATACAACTTTTAAAATAAATAATTCCATTAGTGAAAAATGTAATTTGGACTCCTCTCAGTTAAACAATGCTTGGAAATGGAGGCTAGCAAGTTCCAGCCTAGGACAGTCTTTTAGTACATACGTCATATTCGTAGAATATAACACTTTTTATGATTTCCAGGATTGATGAGATATAACATAATCTGAGCTGTCTAGTTTTGTTTTTTCTTCCTTATTTCAACTGTTCTGCACATGCTTACAAACAATTATTTACCCACCAACAATGGAGCAAATATCTCACAATTTACTTTTTGAAAGAGTGCAAGCACAGCATATTACACTAGGCTTATCAAAGCATGCCAGAATGTTCCCATTTTGGAGTAAGTTTTGTTTCAATTAAAAAGGAAAGTTACTATGGTCCAGAGAGGAAGAAAAAAAAAAAAAAAGCTTCAGGTATCTGTACTTTTAATCATTTCATAGAGAATGGGTATTACACAATGAAAAGAATCTTGAGAATCTCTGAATGATTCAGGTGCATGTAATAGCTTTTTTAAAAAAGTAATAAGTACATATGCATAAGGCAGCTACCATACCCACAGAAAGATTTCATCCTGCATCACATCACCTCTTGGCATTAAACAGTCTTGCAAGGGAAGAATTTTCTCTAAAAAAGAATTCCCTTGTAGTCTGTTCCAAATACGTGATGACACTTCTAAACCTTTTGCATGTTATCAAAAGGATATTATTCAAGTGTAAATCTGACTTGCAATCCATTTGCTTTTTCATTTTTCTAGACGTAAGTTAAAGAAGAGTATGAAAACAATTCTGCTTCCACAAACAGGTGGCACCAGTGAAAGAGAAGAAAATATGGTATGTACACTCAGGGAGCCATCCCTGTCCAAAGAAAATATTCAGATGACTGCTTTTGCACTAGTATACAGTAAACATCTGAAAGCTGTGGACAATGGCTAGTCAAAGGCATGCATTGAGATTTAACCAGCAATGCAAGAAAGCCTCCTGTTATCAAAACCACAGAAGTCTTGCTATCACCTGGATACAATGGAATAACTATTAGATGTTGAAGCAGCTGGAGGTTCCTATAACTTCTGGAACTGGCCACTAATATGATCACCTGATATTAGTAGTTTTTGGTATTTTGCTCTGAACTCATCGCCCCATTGGTAAACTGCTTTCAACTCATTTTTCCTCTTTGAGTAGGGGAGGAAAAGAAATTCGGAGTTATGACAGATTCAGTTGAAGTGTCCCAGAGTGCATTAGACTTTACCATTTCATTCAATATAATGCATCTTTACTGTCATTTCTTCCTCCAAAGCAGTTCATCACAACTGTAAATAGGGTGCCTGAAAGGCACCAGTTTGGCATTCTTCCTTCTTGGCAGCCTATATCAATTAGATGCTAAGTACCAGCTGCGAGGTGTCCACCTTGGGAGAACAGTCTTGGGAGAAAAGTGTATTTCCTTTTACAAAAGAGAACTCCTCCAACAGGTGAAGTAAAAAGGAGAAAATCCCTACTCGCTCCACAGTGATCCTACCATGGCAATGGCTGATACAGGAAAATTGGTCATTTCCAGGGATACCATGATAGCTGAGCACATCTGAGCGCTCTGTTCTGCCACTAAAATTTCTCTCTATCTCTGTCCTCAAGAAGCAAGATTACTTCAGAAAGTGTCATCGATTTTCTTTGAAAAACATTAAAAGAAGTCCTGTGGTCATGCAGTAGCCATATCTGCTTTCATATATATTCGGAATCTGTCAGCTGACCATAGCAGTGACTGCTTGCAGGCTTTTCTGACAGATGTAGGAGTTCCTGCTCTTAGGTCAGTTATCTTTCCCAAATGAAAATATTCCATGTTTTATTGACTCATCACCTTTTCTCCAATCCCCTGCTAAGAGTAGTTTTCTTGATCCTTGACACTAACTTACGAAACCACCTCCAAATACACTGTTCCAAATCTATTAAAGACTATATCATACCAGGAAATCCTAGCCGCTATATTTCATGTAACGCATCAGTAAGTAGAGGTAAAACTTAGGTTTATATCTCTGCCTGCATACACTCAATATGTTGTAGGGCTTTATATGCAGCTCCCATAATCCTGAAGGCATATACATTCTGTAAAATCTACTGAAAAGGATATAGCTGAAAAATAACCTCAGGTCATATTGAAAAACATTGCCATATCGAAAAAAGAACATTTTAGAGTGAAAGTGACCTCTCATGGAGCAAAGCTGCCTTATCTACTATTTACAACATATACTGAATTAATTATCTTTTCACTTTTTCTTTTAAAAGCATCTTTAATGCCTTCTTATTGGGTGATGCTCCACTGTTTGCCTGCTTTTTACATTAAGATACCTTCAGATTATTTAAAGATGGTGTTGCTTTAGAGCAAGGTGTATATTTCCTAAATACTTTATATATTTTGTCAAAATTCAAGTACATTCCTTCCTCCCTACGTCATTCCTTACCAAGCATGAGGACTGTACTATATCCAAGACTCTTCAATCAATTCTTTTAACTACAGGGTATATGTATTTTTTCAAAATTTACTCACATCAGATGTTCTAATTTCTATCTTATCACTTTTTGTATTTGCTTAAATTTACTGCTTGATGTTTTATAATTGGGGCATAAAACTTGATTTCATGCAATTCAAGATGAGCTTTCCAACAAGGCCTCACAAATGAAGTCTAATTAACTTAATTCACAAAAGCTCTGTCGTTATCAGCATATACCCACATTCCAGAATGATACATGTCATTGTTCCATGTGTTTGCTCTTCCAATTCTTTTAGATTAGAGTCCTGCAAAGATTACATATAAATTTCTGCAAAGGCACGTATATGAATAGCCATACTAAAGTGACCTATGCATTTATGAAAACCTGAATCATCTCACAAAATTGAACGTGAGAAATATACACAGGCATTCTAGAAAATAATGGTCTTTAGCTGAACAGTATAATTCACTTTTCTGCAAATAGTCCTTTTTTTTTTTTTTTTTCCCTTTAAGAAGCCTAGAAGATTAAATTAAATGAAGAGCAGTTCAAAGG